CTAGTGGTCAACAATTTCCTTCGTGGATAATACTTCTAGTCATCAAATTATAGAAGGAAATTAAATAAAGTTAGTAGGACAAGGTTGAAATGATTTGGATGTGTTCCAAGGACATGCCAGCTGAAGGATGTTGAATATAGAGTAACCAAGCGGGAAGGAAAGAAGACCTTAGAGGAAACTCGTGGACGTAGTGAAGGAGGGATAAAGTACATGCACACAGCGTGGAGAAGAAGATCATTTGGAATTTAGAAAAGGAATGCCTATGTAGCACTGAAGTTTACAGTTGTGCAATTATGGGCTTTATTTTACTGCTTGATATCGTCTAACAGTCTACAGACAAACTGAATATTTCTTTCACTTTGCATTGTTTTATGTCCCAGGTGTAGATAAAACTTTCAGATGTAAGTTTTATTTTACACCCCAAAGTGCAAAATCGGATCATGTGTGCCCTATTTTTAACATGCAAGCTCATAGAAAGATCTACCAGCGTCTTCACATTTTATTTATTTTCACATTTTGAGCAGTTCTGGTTGAAATTGCAACTAATTTAGTGTAGTAGTAATGAACCCAGCTGCTCTTTCTCTCTGGGGGATCTAATCCACACATAATTACAGTGTGAGGGGAACAATGAACAATGAACTGATTATATTTTTTACTAAAACACACCATTTATAGGTTTCTGTTTTTTCCCAGGTAGCTGAGAGGAGGGGAGACCTTTTCTGAACTACCATGGCTCCACATCCAGTAGTCCAGGCCATCATTGATCTCTCTGCAGGAGCCACAGGTAAATGCAGTAGCCTGTCACTTAAAACTCTTTCTACAGTAGCCAACATAAACATGTGCACATGCACTCTTTAATGTCTATGAAGTAATCCTGTTGCTTTTTAGTGCTGACAAAACCTCACCACCTATGTCAGACTGAAGGATGTTTTGATGACTCCTATGTTTTTCTGGCTCATTTGTTTCAGTGTTTCTGTTTCTCGCCCGAGCCCGCTATGATACTAATCTCTTCACGGCACATATTGGTTGGCTTTTGTGAAAAGTTTGCCTTTCCTGTAGCAACTCTCTGTATGTGCCGGTTCACATCTGTTATTTACTGTTTTTGTACTTTCGTCCTCCCCAGGGGGAGCTGCGTGCGTCTTCAGCGGGCAGCCTCTAGACACAGTAAAGGTCAAAATGCAGACCTTTCCTAAGCTGTACCGCGGTTTCATCCACTGCTTCATGTCTACCTACAAACAAGTGGGCCTGCGTGGGCTCTACCAGGGCACTAGTCCGGCGCTGATGGCCAATATCGCTGAGAACGCTGTGCTCTTCATGAGTTACGGCTTCTGTCAGCAGGTCATCCGCTTCACAGCCGGCCTGCACAGCAAGGCTGTGCTGAGGTAGCTGTTCTTTATGTTAGCACAAAGCCTGCCCTGGGTTTGTGTGTGTCTGATCTCTAACCGCCTGCTGGTCTTTCTGTCTTTGTTAGTGACGTGCAGAAAGCCTGTGCTGGCTCAGTAGCGTCCATCTTCTCATCGCTAGTGCTCTGCCCCACTGAGCTTGTCAAGTGCCGACTACAAGCCATGCATGAAATGGCATCATCAGGCAAGATTGCCAGTAGCCAGAAGTAAGTAAATAGCCTAACAGTAGGGCGGGTGTTTCTCAAGCGCAGTTTGTTAATGAGCAGTTGTTTTTAAATATTCATCTACTAAAACGCTATTTTAGTGTCTCGTGTACTGAGCAACCGTTCCCTCTGCTCTGTCTGAAGCACTGTGTGGTCGGTGGTGAGATTCATCATAAGGAATGAGGGACCACTGGGCTTCTTCCAGGGTCTGACCACCACTATAGCCAGAGAGGTCCCCGGTTACTTCTGCTTCTTCGGTGCCTACGAACTCTGCCGCACAACTTTTGCAGACTACATGAAATGTGGCAAGGATGACATAGGTACTGCTGTAAATGTTTCCCTATGTTATTAAAAGGTGTTCTGGTCAAATGTGGATGTTAAATAAAGTGAAAAAAGAGTAGACACAAATGATATACTTTATTAACTTACATATGTTATTAAATGTTACTTCTTATAATATAATGTGCTTATATTTGACTTGTGAAGTGAAGAAAATTTTAATACAGTCCACATCTGTGAACGGGATTTCTGCCTATGTCACCTTCGATATATTGACGGAAGTGATGAAGCTAACTACTACCCTACTTTCAATGTCATCAAACTACAAATATGTCTCTGTTAGGATATTTCTGTCAGTACATTTCCATTAGTACACCATGTAAACTGCATACTTGCTTGGTGCATGCATGTTAAAGGTGTTGCAAGTCAAACAGAGTAGGCTGCATGCATTTGACTGTGGCTGCTGGAATAACCTTTTCTTCTTCAGCTTTCTATTGTACATTTGCTGGCATGCTTGGAAAAACGGTCCTGTTACATGACTCTGTTTCGATTGCTTCACATTTGAATCTGTAATATTTTCATATACAGAGGAGTTAATGGTTGACTTAATGACTGCAACCTACCTAGGTCATGTGGCGGTATATTAAGCCCAAATCATCACCCCTCCTCCACCGTGCTTGACAGTTGTTATGACGTTGGTCGACTTTGGTCTCCTCAGGTTATTGGTCCAGACGTAGTTCATTCAGATGCATTTTTGATAACCTATGATCTTTTTAGATTGAGCACGTTTTCTCCTGGCAGCCCTTCAAAGCAAGCATTCTGTTTTTTTTATTGTACTGTCAGGAACTTTAATATTTAACATGCTGTGTATTTTGGAGGTGTGGCTCCCATTGTGTTCAGCGGCGGTTTTGGAGGGGCGTGTCTGTGGTTGGTGGTCTACCCTATGGATTGCGTCAAATCTCGTATTCAAGTCATGTCTATGACGGGAAAACAGGCGGGCTTTTTCAAGACCTTCATGACCATCACTCGCACTGAAGGTAAGCACATGAAGGGTTTTATAGTATTTTCCATAACATGTTTAGAAAAGCAGTCTTGGTGTAAAAGACTAAAGCTTTCAGCAGTTTCAGTTTTCACACTGTAAGCTCAGCTGTTTCTTGTGTTTAGGTGTGAGGGCGCTCTACTCTGGTCTTACCCCCACCATGATCCGCACCTTCCCTGCTAATGGAGCTCTGTTTCTGGGTTACGAGGCCAGCCGGAAGCTCATGATGAGGCAGTTTGACAGCTAAAACGGTCCACATCCTTAACACAAATGAAGAAACGGCGAAATATTATAGCCATATGACCTTATACATGGGCTCTGAAAACTGCCACACTCCATCTCCTGTGAGACTGAAGCAACTCGCTTTTGACGCAGCATTTGCATCACAGTATTACTCTGGTTCTTACATAGAAGAATTTTTAGTTTTAGTTTTTTAATGCTTCGGCCACTTTGTTAGGTACACCTGTTCTGCTGCTCATTAACCAGCCAATCAGATGATCTGATGTCGTCGTGTTGGCGTTGTTCCCAGATCATCATGAAAATGTTGTTCCAGGTTCAACATTGCAAGTGACCAATCACATTGTTGTGACGTTATTGTTTTGCGCGCCAAGCCATTTGTGCATTCATGAAATTCCAATGTTGCAAGGACTATCAGTTCTGCTTACCGTTTATTAAAGGGTCAGGGTCCGTTGATCGGAGGACAGAGGCGGTTTCTCGCAGTTTAAGTAGTTTTTTGTTTTACGGCGGGTTTTTTTCCCGAAGTCGCAAAAGTCACAGCTGTCACAACATTCTGATTGGTCACTTGCAATGTTGATCCTGGAACAACATTTAGTACGATGATCTGGGAACAACACAAACACGACGATATCAGATCGTGCCCAGCGAATCACATTCATTGTTCAAACTGCGCATCAGAAGACGCATGATTTTGGTAAGTGTGAACACGGTGGGGTTGTTGGAGTATTTCAGAAACTGCTGGTCTGCTGGGATTTTACTAGCAGGAACTAGCAAGGTGTACCTAATAAAATGTCTAAGTATAGCACAGTATTGAGCAAACAACCTCTTTACAAGGAACTGCCAGTTTTCTCTTCCGTTTATTATTTTACCTCTACCTCAACAAGGTCATCGTCACATGTAACGATTCTTTCACATGGGATCGGTTACCCAGTTAAACAGGAGAGTTGTTGTGAAAGCCCCCTGTGGTCATACAAGCAACGCTCGGGGCTCTTATCCACTCCACATGCACTACTTGAAGGCACAAATACATTCCTGTCTCTTCAAGTTGTGCAGAGACATGAATAAACAGCTCCTTTAGGTTTTGAGTTTATATTTAGGGCAAAACTTAATATGACTGTGTTAAAGATAGTAAAGTGGCATATGCCATTTCATTAAATTTTATTAACTATTTTTAAATTTTATTAACTCATTATAGAATCATCGGCATCTATGTGGACACCTTAATTTGGGATCTCACCTGGGTTTGTCTGTATGGGTAGTTCTGCTCATAAATTCTGCTGCTTTCAAAAGGAACATCGATATGTTTTAAATCATAGGCTGATTTTTCTTTGTCATGGTTGCCATACCGTACTCCACTCCGTGCTGTGATTCTTCAGTATGTTGAGAACCAGCATTAATCTTTTTTTCCTTGTGTAACCTTTGCCTGCTTATGTGCCATTTCCCATGTTTTTCCCCTTTCAATGCTGAGTTTGCAGTTCAGAATTCTCAATCCTGTTCTCTTCAGTTTTATTCAGAAGTGTAGATATTTTATCCTGGAAATGCTAACAAAAGATGGAGAACTGTTTGTACATCAAACCTGATATTTATTGTACTAATGCAGCTTACATTAAAAGTAAGATTTGTTTTATTTTCCTTTGACTGTAATTACTGTATTACTTTGACTGTAAAGCACAATTATTCAAACGTCACAACAAAATGCAGTATGATAACTGTAGCTGCAGCGTTTTAAACCAGATTATCTAAAACTGGCCATCTAATTGGTGTAAATCATTTCTACTGTTAAAATTATTGTTGTGCATTTTAATATTTAAGTTTTCTGTTAATATATGAAGCATTAAATACATAAAAAGTTATTTTATTAAACGGTGCAACTTCAAAGAGAATGTTTTATGCAGACATGAAGTTTATCGTCATTCATCCAGCAGGGGGCGCCCATCAACTGTCAGAAACTCTCAGATTATGTGAATTAATGAATACATAAAAAAATAACCACATAATAATCCAGAGAGAAGAGGTGAAGTCTGAATTGTCACTACATAAATCTGAGAAGTAAATCATTTTTACCTTTTTTATTTTTTTAATTTATAAATTTTTTAGGCGATCTGAGCTTCCTTATTGCAGGTTCCACACAGACAGCCGAAGAGCCCGTTGATCATCTGTGTGGCACAGAGGATCACCTGCAGGCAGCTTGTGGCCAGCAGAGTGCCGAACAGTCCAAGGTTGAACTCCACAATGTTCTTAGGCTCTGTGCATAAGCTCCATAATGTCTTGTCCATCAGGTAGTGGCTGTCACTGTGCAAGAGAGGAGAATTATAAATGACTAAAAGTTGAGAAACGTATGAAATGTGTCACGAGGAAGTCACTCCTGTGCTTTACTCTGTGAGTTCTTTAAAAGGCGTTGTCCAGACCAGTCCGGTTTTGCAGAGAGGCCCATTCTGCAAACCAAGTACTGCAACAATTATACTGTACAGGCCTCCAGCAACACCCACTGCAGCAAATGCAATTGATAAGAACATCTGCAGAGAGAGTAAATGATAAAGGTCAAATGCAATCATGATACAGTTTAAAGACACATTTTTTTCCCATCCTGTTGATAAATAAAATGGGTAGTTGTAGGTGCTCACTAAGCATCTGGTGACATTTTTCTTTCAGTGTTTGCTTTTCCCATAAACTGTAGATTCATCAAGATTAACTACAAGCCAAACTAAACATACTAAAACAGGTCTGTTACTCCCTCCACAGAGTTTGTTTTGCTAGTGTTTATTTCACTCTGTATGTAAGCATGATACCTTAAAAGGTTCGAAATGAATTCTGATAAAACCTAGCGTCAGGTCATGTTAGCAATCCATTAAAATTTGGCTTTAAGGTCTTCAAGGTCGAATTGATGTTTTATTGGCGGAAAATTGGGGGAAAGCTTTATAATTTAGAAACCACAATTCTTACAATTGTGCTGTGTATTGTCAGCATATAGAAAATACAGTATAAAGATTTAAAATATTTCATGTTTGACCTCTGACCTCTCCTTCAGGTCACAGGTCACAGTGATAGTAATCATATAAATACATAACAAGTTGAATACATGTCCATGTTCGTGAACGGAACAAAACTAGTGATCAAAAACGTTTTCAATTAATATTTATTGCTAAAAATTTTAATGAAATGAATGCTACACTTGTAATCTATCCAGATTAAAAACAATATAGTCAAAATTACCTAAAAAAAAAAAGAGCTTGTAACAAGGCAGATGACAAATGCTTGCACTTTTCACTTGTTTTTAATGTGCAAAGAAAACAAAATGAATATATAGAAAATACAATACTGTTTCCCTTAAATGTAAATATTACCCAGAGAGCAAGCTAACTCAGGTGCTACTGGTTGGTGCTGTGTTAGGTCACCTTTTTAATTTCTGTAGCAGACTCACATTTCACAGTGTAATCGTAGCTTAACTTTAGAAACAACGGTTCATTAACAGGACTACTTTAAGTTTTGATTTTATTCAAATCTATTAATAAAATCTGTTACTTTATTATAATATTAAAATCTCTCAACTAGTCGCAGAAGATGGCCACTCCTCCCTGAGCCTGGCTCTGCCAGAGGTTTCTTCCTGTTAAAAGGGAGTTTTTCCCTGTTGGGTTTTTCTGTGTGTGTGTTGTTGTAGGGTCTGTCTTACAATATAAAACGCCTTGAGGCGACTGTTGTTGTGATTTGGTGCTATATAAATAAAACTGAATTGAATTACATGGATCAGTCCATTCAGTGTCAACACAGTAAGATCATCTAAAAAGTAGCTCAGCTGAAACTGGACTTGTTCAAATATTAGAAAACTGGTCAGCCTCAGGATATTATGATATAACAATTTTGTCTAAATTCTCCACACGCGATGTGCGTCAAATATCACATCTCTATAAGTGTTTTAAATGTACAATCACTGTCATATTTACATTTTCTGAGAGCTTAAATGTCTATGACTTTACTCTGAAAATATATTTAAAGAGTGTGTTTATTAACACAAAGTATTATCAAAGAAAAGGCATTATGTATTTTGAAATATGATGTACTTTCTATCAATATCTTTTATAATAAAAATAAATTTGGTCCAGTGTTCTGATTTTTCCTTTTTGTCTATTTACTCCATTTAACAATCCATTGAAATAATTGTAATATTGTTTTATTTCATTTAGTTAATTTTGAAAAACAAACAAAAAAACACAGGTAACATATCCTGTACCAAACCAGTGAGAACTTGCAGTTTTAATTTGTTTGCACAGTCTTAGCAATGACAAAAATAAAGAACATTTTTACTTTCATGAAGTGAAATTGTATCTTTTCACTTCAGCTATTTTCCATTTAAACAGGTTGTATATGGACAATTACTACTGGGTTTGGTACCAAAAGTGTACATATAATAATCTTTAAATGAAATAAACATATTATGTTAAGTAATTATCTGCATATGCATAAGGGAGGCTGCAGGGAATTCAGAGACACAACTTGTTAAGATTTTCAGCATTACAAATATAAAATGATAAAATATAATTTATAATAAGAAAAAAACAACATTGGGTGTAGATTATTATAAGTAAGGCAAAGCAACAGAAATGAAAAATGTCAACTTATTTAAGACTTTTCTAACTTTCATGGGTAACGGAACTTGAACAGAGATGATTCGGGTCATGGCTTTTTTAGAATACTTGTAATAAAATCATCAGTGATTATTGTAAAAAAAATAGGTAATTTTGGATTCATATAATTGTATTATGCGGTAGAGGGGGGTGAATAATGTAAGAGAAGCTTTAAGACATATGTATTGAGAAGGGCTGCAGCTATCAGTTATTTTAGCAATTGAATATTTTATCTATAATTCCATCAATTTTGTAATTGGATAAGAAATACTTTTGTCTTATTAATGAGCAATAATAAATATTCAAAAGAGAAAACAGAGGCATCTTAAAATGAACTGCTCATTTTAGAAATTGCAACTTTTTAATAATTTAAATAAATACAATTTCACAAAATTAAACATTCCCATAGTATTCACATGTAATTTTTTAAAGAAATTTGTAAAGAAAAACATTTCTTAATGCAAAAATAAATAAATGATCTCAAGTATAGTAAAGTAAAATAAGGTATACTTACAATTTAAACTAGGCCATAAAGTAAAATGACCTATAATGTGTCTTCTTGAAAGGCTTTCTTACATTAATAGTTGGCAAAAAAAAGGTCTGACAGTGTTGTATCGCCTGATGAAGTAGATTTTGTGTGTGTATGTTCATGTGTATTTATTTTTGTGCCTTTCCTTTTTTTTAATCTGAATGTTTAAGTGAATGAGTGAGTTTGTGTCTGTACGCCTTTAAAGGAGCGTGTGGTGGTTGTTCTGAACAAAAGTGAGCATGTCAGCATTGTGAAGTTTGCCCTGTGGTTTAAAACAAGATGTTATGATGGTGTAGATGTTAATAATGAATGTTAATAATAATTAAATATCCAACCTAACAGCCCTACATCAGTGCCACAAAGTTGTATTGACCCAGTAGAGGTTTTATGGCGATTAAAAAAAAAGCGCTCCTGTTTTGGATGCTAGAAACATGTTTTTATGATCGAGTTATTCAAATTGCTCATTACAAATGAGTTGGTGCAGCCGTAGCATCGACTCATTTTTATACAAAATACATTATTTTAGTCGCAATGACTCAAACAGTACCAAATCCCAGGAATGATCCTCATAAGTTGCAGTAAGACTGGGAGTCCAAACACTTTTTCTGACATTTACAGGATTCAAATCTCCTTTCAGTCGAGATGTGTGTGTATATGCATATTGATGCTTTACATTTAATGTGTTAATCATTAAACTTAATCAAGCCTGTCTAACCTGAAGCATCTTACTGTGCTCATGTCTGACTCACCCCACAGCGATTTCCATAGCAACCCTTTTTACCAGTTAAATGAATGTACAGTGCTGGTAGCAACACCTGTAGAAGGACAAAGGAGGTGATAGGACATAATATTCAGTCTGTCGTTAGTGGAATAAAAGACTCTGTAAACATGTAAACATGAGCCTTCATTCATGTTTTAAGAAACAGTTCGCACCAGTGAATTCTGACTTTTGCACCCTGCTCACGCCCAGTTTAGATGATTCTCATGCGAGTGTCAAACACACTGAAACAAATCTTTAAACACTAAACTAATTCTCAGAAAACACATGGATTCGATTTAGATATGCACACAGTTTTAGACTGTATATGTAAGTGTGTATTTTTTTCTGAGACTCCAAATTTTCATAAAAGAAATCAGCTCTATCCTTTAGTAAAACACTGAAAAACAGAGGACCACTCACCAGTACGCCCCCTCCAATGAGTCCCCCCATGTATTTCACCTCCTCGGTAATATGTCCGTCTTTGTCATAGGTGACGTTCCCATCAGGGAAGAACAGCACGATGTTACAGATGATAGATATGACTACTAGTGGGTACAGAGTAATAGCAATGCAGCGGGAACATTTTCCAGTGCACATGTCTGCAGATGGAGAAAGTTACTAACTTGGTAGCAAAGTTTGAGCTCGGATGCTAATCGCCCTTTATAGAAAGAGGCTCCACTCCAATGTGACTGGGGATTCATACTGGGAAGATAAATTCATAAGTGGGAGGGAGGTTAGGGTGTGGGGGGTGTGGTGACAGGGCAATAGCAAAGGAAAAAAGGGTCTGGGACAGGCTGCGGAAGTGTGTCTGACTCATGCTTGCTCTGTTCGACAGTTGGAGTCGGCATGATAAGATAACCCCAAATTTCTGTTAATTTCTGTTGGTCACCTTAGTGACACATGGTGGTACTAATGATGCCACAACTAACGAGACTCCAAGACTGTTTTAGGATTAAATACAACTGTGTTTCTTGTATGTTGTTGGAATGTAAAACAGCCAAGATTATTAGTGTCAGAGAGAAATTTAAAACCAGTGTAAGACATCCTGGGGATATGCTGTATTGTATGATCAAAGCACAGCTGGACTTTGCTTTGCTGCTGCTATAGCAACACACAAAGTGGAAGAAAGATCAATATGTCACTGGCACGGTCACTTTGTGCTTGGTTAAACACTCATCAAACATTCTGGCGAGCTGAAATTTAAAATGAAAGAGAATAAGCAGAGCGCCTCCTGCCCAAAAAGAATCCTCCAAACAACACATAGAGTGAATCAGGCTTCTTAACCCTTGTAAAAGTTGTAATTATAAGCCCAGGAGTACCTCCCTCACCTGAAGAACAGTAATGTTTGTGTGTCCTAGATTGTATTTTGACTGATTATTCTTTTTAAAAGCAGAAGAGAAGCATCAGAAATACATAAAATCATATTAATGCACAATATATTGGTATGTGAAGTGATGAAGTCCCCATCTGCAAACAGGATTTCTCCCTGTGTTACTTTTGATGACTTATCATAAAAAAACTAATGAAGACAACGACTACACTGCTTTACAATGTCATCAAACTATAGATGTGTCTCGGTTTGGATGTTTCTGTCAGTAAATTTCAATTAGTACACCAGGTACACTGCATACCTGCTAAGAAAACTAAGCATTCCCTAGTTTTTTACAGGAATCTGAAAAACTGTTATTTTCCAAATGACTTTATCAGTCTCTCACAATATTATTGTAAAGAGGAGCCACTCTTCTTTAGCTTATTGATGTGTACAGGCATTTATTTATGCACAACTCTTTTTTAAGGCTAATAACTTTTCCAACACCTCAATTCTTTTTCTTTTTTGCTGGCATGCTTGGAATAATAGCCCTGTTGCATGACTCTGTTTCAGCCGGCAGACAGATGGCCTCACATTTGACTCTAGAATACTTTGGTATACAGAGGACGACCGTGGCTCAGGGGGTTGGGAAGCGCATCTGTAACCGGAAGGTTGCCGGTTCGATCCCTGGGCTCACTGTCCTGGTCATTGTGTCCTTGGGCAAGACACTTTATCCTACCGCCTACTGATAGGGGCCGATGGCGTTCCCTGAACCTCGCAACCGTAGCTTGCCTCCACCAGTGAGTGAATGAATAGTGGCATTGTAAAGCGCTTTGGGTGCCTTGAAAAGTGCTATATAAATCCAATCCATTATTAGTTAATGGCCGACTTGATGATCGCAAGGTGCCAAAGTCCATGTGGCAGCAAAAAAAAAATCATCACCCCTCCTCCACTGTTAGTGACAGTTGGCAGAGGTATTTGTGTGGATACGTTGTGTTTGTCATCCATCCATTTTCTGTCACTTATATGGGTTTTGGTCTCTGGGGCAGCAGTTTCAGCAGAGAAGTCCAGGCGTCCCTCACCACAGCCACCTCCTCTCAACCAGGGGACACAGATCAGTACAGCATTCTCCTCACTGTAAACGCCGCCCCGATCCATCTGTCATTCTTGTGTTCACTTGTGAACAACACCCTGGGATTCCTAACTCCTCCACTTGGGCCAGTAGCTGGTCCCTGACCCAGAGTGGGCACTCCACTCTCTTCTGGCTGAGAACCACGGTCTCGGACTTGGAGGTGCTAATTGGAGGAAAACACATCGGGGATGCAGAGGTCAAGGACAGAAGAGAAGAAAAAAGGTGACGGTGAGACAGCGGAGGCTCGAAGCGAGGAGGAGGTTTAAACCGTGTCTGCCGTCTATCGTGATGGGAAATGTGCGATCGTTGGCAAGTAAAATCGACGAGCTCTCAGCACTGGTACGGAGTCAGAGGGAATACCGAGAGTGTAGCCTGATGTGTTTCACCGAATCATGGCTGCACCAGGTCATTCCCGATGAGAATGCTTCCGTGGAAGGCTTCCACACTGTTCGGGCGGACAGGGACAGCATCGCTAGCGGTAAGCGTAAAGGAGGTGGGCTTGCTGTTTTAGTTAACAACCGGTGGTGTAACCCTGCCAACATAACAATCAAAGAAAGGATTTGTTGCCCGGACACTGAACTGTGTGCTGTTGGACTCAGGCCGTATTATTTACCCAGGGAATTCTCTCACGTCATCTTGGTGGCTGTTTATGTTCCCCCCTCTGCTAACCCCACAGCTGCATGTGACACTATCCACTCTGCCATAGCTCGGCTACAGACTCAGCACCCGAGTGCCTTTATTGTGATCTCGGGTGACTTCAACCATGTATCACTGGACAATACACTACCAACATTCAAACAATATGTGGACTGTCCCACCAGGGGAGAGAAAACTTTAGACTTACTGTATGCTAACGTCAAGGATGCATACAGCTCCTCCTCCCTCCCCCCACTTGGTAGGTCAGATCATAACCTCATTCAGGACGATCTGATTTCCTCGTGTCAGCATTGTTCCCACATCATCATAATTAATGTTGTTCCAGGTTCAACATTGCAAGTGACCAATCACCTTCTTGTGACGTCATTCCTTTGCGACTTCGAAATACCCGCCTTCGAGTATTTCGAAATACAAGTGAAGAAGCGAAAAACCGCCGCCTGTCCGCCGAATTTGAAGTCAATTTAGGATACTTTCCTTTAATAAACGGTAAGCATTATACATATGTTCCTCACTTGGCTTGCTGTTTGTTTGCTAGCGATAGGCTACTTGACAACAGCATTAGCTAACCAGTGTTCTCTAGACCAGCGTTCCCCAACTTTTTGGGTGTTTCGTGGCCCGGGGGTTGGGTCAGGCAAAATTGCAGTAGCTTCCCTGATCATTTTACAAACATAAGTGAAGAGAATCTGGACTAAAAGGCCTAGACTTATGGTTGTGTGCTGAATCTATGAATCAAACTATCACCTGGAAACATAATTAACTGGTCCATAGCTGTGAAACTGGACATGAGTTCTTGATTCTATGGAGATTAACAGTAATCCAGAAATTTACAAATTTGTCCTGGTACATCGCGTAAATGTTGTCCCAGGGACATCGCGTAAATGTTGTCCCTGGGACATTGTGTAAATGTTGTCCCTGGGACATCATGTAGAATTTGCCCTGGGACATCGTGTAGATGTTGTCCCTGGGACATCGTGTAGATGTTGTCCCTGGGACATCGTGTAAATGTTGTCCCTGGGACATCGTGTAAATGTTGTCCCTGGGACATCGTGTAAATGTTGTCCCTGGGACATCGTGTAGATGTTGTCCCTGGGACATCGTGTGATAGCTTGTAAATAATGGAATGAAAATTATTGATTGTTATTAACTTGTGAAAAAGAAGTGTAACAAATCCACATGTTATGTTCTTACACCCTTACAGAAACTGTGACTCCTTCACAATGTCAGGTAAATGTCAACTCATGTTGAATAATCAACCAATCAAGCCTTTTATTATCACATGCAATGTTACACGTACAACTGCAATGAAAATTTCACCCCCTTCTGACCATACATATATTGCTTAAACATCACATTGGGAAGACAGGTCGGAAACAGTTAGGAAGGTCAGAAAATAATTTAATTAATAGATGAGGAGGAGAAAAAAGAACTACAACCAGACAAAGCTCCTAGAAGACTGAAATGGATGATAGTTGCAGCATGCAAAAAGAAAATGATATCTGTTGACTACAGCATATGCTTTCTCACAGATTACCTTGTGGGAGTAGCTGGACCAAACTCTATTGGTATTTCAAGTTTGAAATCCCTGTTTGACCAGACTAACATTTCAGATGAGGTACCTCTTGACATAAAAATCATTTTATGTTGTCATAAAACTAATGTTAAATTCTGCTTTAAATACACTTTATTGTACAATTTACTTAATGAATCGTATTCCTTAGTTCTGTTTTTATTTATATGTATTTATTTATTTGTTTTATAAGGTAATAGATGGCCTAATCTATTTGCAGTGTGAGGTATGTTGAAAAGCTTGTTTGATCATAATGACATAGCATGTTTACGTTTTTTGTAATGTATTTGAAAACATAGGTGTATTTATGTTATTTTTATAGAATTTCCCTCACATTTATCCAATACCAAGCCAAATCACTGGAAAAATTTTGGATGGGTCCACAAGAGCACAAAGTGCATACTTTTTGAAGGTATGACTTGGACTGTGGTAACTATGTTCTTATCACAAAGGGTTTATAAGTTGCCACTATAAACAAACAGCATTTTCCAAAATTGAAGCCTTGTCAGAAGAACCTGAAAAATACCTTTCTGAAACCTTTTCTGTGTAAAGACTTGTTCAAAAGCAATGCACACAGATTAAAACATTTCTGTCTTGGCCAACTGATAAAGAACACCAAAAATTGAGTGGTGCGTGTTGAGTCTGTGGTCTTGATTTGTTTTGTACACACTATAGAAATTAATTAATGTAAACCAAAAATGACACTTTCTATATGTTTGTGTATCTGCAGAATTAATCACAAGTCTCACCTGACAAGCTTTCGCAGTTTTGCAGTGTCATTCTTGACAGAAAAACATACTTGTCACATTCTTTTTATTTCCAGAAAAACATCTTTCAGATGTATGAGAAATTGATTGGAGCCTGTCTGGAAAATGGCAGCCACTGGACCTTGTTTGTAAGTTGCACAGATTTTGCACTCTCTCTAGTGCATGATACTTTTCAGTGTCCCTCATTAGGAAAGCTCAAGGCCCAAGCCTACCATATCCATCTTTTTACAAAACAGTTTTGTGATATACCCAAGAGGAC